ACACTTCGGTTAAAAGTTATTTTGTATTTATTTTATATACATGTATATAAATATACATATATACAAAATTATATCTGGTGTTGTATACAAGTTTTACATGATTTCCAGTCAATCTTGTGATTTTTATGCGTACTTCGTTCATGATTTTTGAATAGGAGGGGCTAAAATACAGTCTCAAACTTCCTTTGCTTCACTTCAGACAGCTTCTGAATCAAGTAAGTTAACTGTCCTCAGGATATTCCCAGCTTTCTTCTAAAGCAGAGAAGGATTCGTGTACAGACTGTTTACTATGCATATCTTCGTTAACCACTACTTGTTTAGTGAGCTGATCCTTCTCTTAATATTTTAAAGTATTTTCCTTTTGATAAAAACATCATCATATAGATTTACTGGATTATAGTTTTCAGGATCCTTTAAAACATTGATGCCACTTTTGCTGTTCTTTCATTTTTGCCGCTCCCCAAGTCCTTACTGTTTTTTGGAATTGGTTGTGTGTCCAGTAAATTCATCCAATACATCAGTTAACACTTTCAGATGTGTATTATCTTTCCTTGCCTACAGCTCATTAAAGAGTGTATTTATTTTTAAAGAAGGTTGTCATCATCTCAGAATGTTCAAACTTTTCTTTATTTTTCTTGTCAGAGTAATCATAAAGAGGATTTCTTTAGTTAGCGTTGCATAAACTCTTACGATATTTTCCTCATTAGGAGACAGACTGTGGTGCTCTTTTTAGGTTTATCACATAACATTTTCACACTGAGAACTCCCATTGATTATGCAGGATTATTAAAGGAACATAATACTAATTGAAGTGGTAGAAATAGCTCTTTCATGCAAGTATTTCTGTTTGCAAGAAATAGAAGTTCTTGAAAGTTGCAAAAGTTTTACTGTAGTTCTACAATCAGTTATGGAGATTTACGCAGGGATGTCAGATTGAAGATCTCTGGGCTGTATAAAGTGTGATACAAATGAGATGATCATGCTAGTTTCTAAATCATTCCTCTAAGATTATTTTACCAGAATGAATTTCAAAAATCCATTTTCTTTTCTTTTGACACATCTATCTGTTGATTCTTAGCCTGTCTTTCACCTCTGACAGCGAACATACATTAGTAATTTCCTTTGATTCCAGTCAATTTAACGTCTAGGACTTCATCTATCAATTTGCTCTTTGAATCTTTTTCCCTAAACTTTGGTAGAGAAGGAGAATTCTGATGCATAGAAGATTTCAGAATTTTGGAATCCTGTTTTGTTCCAATTTTGAGTTCAAACCTGTCCCTGCATCACATCCCAGGCTTGTCTATCTCATAGGCAGCAGACCCTGGAAACCTGAGGCCTTTGACTTCAGGATAGTTGCCAGGCAGTTTTGCTGCAGTGTTGTGAAAATTGAATTGCTTTTACAGTCTGTTTGAATTTCAACAAATTGACTTTCACTTATGGAAAATGTTCTTTTGGAGGATTTTCAGCCTATTCTATTAATACTGCAAAGGAAAATAGAAAATGAAACAAAAGAAAATGTTTTAAGTCTCTGATGAGTGAAAGCATTTGATTTCATGACAACACTTCTGCACAGGCTTTCTTTAAGATACACACGCACTGGCAGAACATGTGGCCCGCTGGTTTTCATGAGCTGTTGTGAAAATATTTGTTAACGACTAAAAATTGTAGGAGCAAAATTGATTTAGTCTAACCTGACTCATTGCTACATTTTTACTCTGCCTCTGTGACCTTAAACTGCATATGACTTCCTGGAGAATTAATGCTTAACTGAGGAAAAATTGAGTGAATACCTCAGTATTTGGTATGTTTATAGCATACCTTAATATAATGCCCAGCTGTTAGGTGATTGATGAATAGCTTGGAGAATGGGTTATTAATGACTTGCATTTGGTTGTGCACCCCAGTTAACCAAGACAGAGATTAAGAGAGAGCAAGCTATAATAAAACATCAGCCCACCAGAATTACTCTTGTGAAACTAAAATTAGGGTAGCAGAGAAGTGGGAGTAAGACCTGAGAGCTGTCAGCCACCCTCTTTTTACTGAGACCTCTCACACAGCCCCTTCAGTGCTCTGATGGAGCATCAGGGATGATTTGAGATTTTAAATCTTCCTGGAGGCACACTGGGCAGGTTTTGCTCATCTTCAGTTGGGGCTAAGGGGAAACAGACATAAAGGGGAAGGAGATTCTGGAGTTCACCCCACATCTTTCTGATGTTGTGGCATTTTGATTTTTTTGATTTTTTGAACTATCTGGGAACACCTGATGTGTTATGGATCACTGGGAGTCAATAGAGTGAGATCAACAGAAGAGGGAGTCCTGCTGGCAATGAATAGGAGCGTTTGGGGGCTGGTGGAAACTCAGAGGGCGGATTGTGCTATGGGGTGTTGCAAGTATGTGCAGTGCCTTCCATCACCCAGCGTGGTGGTTGTTAGCACTCACGGTGTTGTTTACGTAGTGCCCCAAGGGTGTGAGGTGCAACAAATGTAACATCCCAGAGATCTCAAGGGGAATCTACTGGAGAGTGAAGTGCTGAGGAGGCAGGGAGAGAGGGTAGGAGAGGGAACGAGAAACAAGCCAGAAGCCACAAAAATGACATACAAAAAAAAAAAAATTGCTTTTATTTCTCATGTGCACAAAAAGAGAAAAGAAAATGGTCAAACAGAACTGAAGTGATGAGGAAAAGCCAAGAGGGGCTGCAGCAGCCTAGAATGGATGTGACCCTGCACCTGGCACTGGCCCCCTCCCCTCCACGGTCTCATGTCTGGCTTAGTCTGGAGATCATCAGCAGAGCTGCTCTATTGTTGGATTTGTCATCAGTTCTGTAATTGTCAGTTTGGTCCTTCTTTCCTGCTTTGCAAGTCTGCCACTGTCCTGGGCCCAGTCAAGAAAGCACACTGTGGTATTTGTGGGTCCCTCAGAAGCCCTCACTCTGTCAGTGCCAAAGGGGGCAGCTCAGCTATGATTCTTATTTCTTTGCCCAGAGGGGTGCTTTTCCTTAGGGACAAAAGGGTGGTTTTCTTCCAACAGTTCAGCAAACTAAAAATTCCTTAAGGAAAATGTTAATATGCATATATAATTATATACTCAAGAGAAGAAAGAGATGCAGGATTTTTTGTTTTCCTTTTCTTGTTTGTTTAACGTCCTCACATTCATGTTGTGATTAATTCTGAAGTCATACTCTTGAGGTTGATTCCTTGCTACTGATGGGTCAGAAAGCATGCAAACTTCTGTTTCCACAGCAGGGCTCATTGCCACCAACCCTCCCCAGCAGATTTACAGGCCACAGCAATGTTAGCTTTAATGCATCCACCTCATGCAACCCCTTCCTGTGTCTTGCCCCACATCCTGTTGGACCAAAAGGACACGGGAGCTTCAGAGAACAGGACTCAAAAGTGCTGCCAGTTTTAAATGCCATGGTCCCTGTTGCCAAGCATGGCATTTGAGAACTCCGGAGATTCTTCCCCCATGATCAAGTGGAGACAGAAGGACATCCAGTCTCACATTTCTGCTTGGTCCATTAGATAAAGCAAACATAACAGCAAAACTAGGAATGATAGGAGAAGAAAGAAGTGAGGGGAGAGCTAAGAAGAAGAATAAAGAAACAAAGGATGATTTGTGAGAAAAAGGGAAAGAGAGAAATGTAGTGGAAACATTAATTATTATTCACAATAATACTTAACAGTTTGATAGAATTTTCTATCCAGAATCTCAGAGCACTGAGGCAGTGCTAATTGATTCAGCTGCACAATCCCCCTGTGAACTAGAAACTATTGTTATTCCCATTTTACAGAGGGTTGGAACTGAGGTAGAGGGGGAAATTGGATTTGACAAAGCTTTTCTAGAGTTATAGAGAGAACTGGGGAGTTTGAGGTCCCAGATACCTGCTCCCATATTGACAATGCTGTTCCCTCCCTGGATAGAAAAGTGCATTGGGAATGAGAAATAATAAAAGAGAGGGATAGAAATTGAAAGGAAAGAGGGTGTGAGAAAGAAGTGTGGGAACTGTAAGAGACAGCAGAATCAAGGAGAGCTTTGAGTCAGACTTCACTGGATTTTGCATAATGATTTCTTCCTCCAATCTTTTTTCATTTTTTTCCTGTAAAAATGTTTAAAGGAAAATAAAAATAAAATAAAACAATTTCCACCTATAAAAAAGCAACTGTTGGCCTGTTGGGGAAAAGGTACTTCCAAGGTTTGGCTGTTCCCTCAGGTTCTGAATTTGTGCTGTGCTTTATTGAACACATTGTTTTGTTTTCAGTGAGCACAACGAGATTTGCACAGTACACACAGCGTGTTCCTTATCTACAGGATGAGACGAGGCTGTTTTAATAACTACCATGATGAAGATGGAGATGAACTTATATACAAGAGGAATTGCCTTCACATTACACACATTATCTTCCTACAAAGCAGCAATTGTTTTTTGCAAATAACATAATATTAAATAATTGGTAGAATTTTTGCGTTTCCTGCATAGTCCAGTCTAATGGAATCTATATGAATATTGATGGTTTTCTTCTGCATAATATCACCACATAAATCCCCACGTCAGCTACTAGACTTGGGCTATAATACTGCTTTACAATGCATCCACCGACTGTAAATCAAAACAACCAACACAAGAAACTCTTTGGCAAATGTAATTCAGTACATTCGCATGAGGGTCTACAGATGGTGGTGGAAGAGGATTAGACTGCCCAGTTTTTTTGCATAATTCTGCTTTCCTTTTAATTTTCCAAGTCAAACTACATGCTGTACTCATGAACTTTCCAGACCAATCCAATGCCTGGTGGAAATCCTCTTTCATCAGTGAAGTTAAACCAACAACGGATTTGGCCCTCCAAGGGTCAAATCAAGCCAGCCATGAGTGAGCCAACTCAATCCTGCTTTCAGACCCTAGCTCATGTCTCAAGTTTAGCAAAACACTGTTATAAAAATAAGCATTTCTGAGCTGCTAGCTTTTCTCAAGCTGGCCCCTGGGCTGCAGGTGGCCAAGTGGGAGGTGTGTCAGTCTCTTTTCTTCAGTCTTCTCAGGACCATCTCCTTATTGGTCCTGGGATTTACTGCCTCTGCCCTGACCACCTGCTGAGTGAATCTGGGTGGTGCACAAATAGAGCAAAGTTTGCACTGAGAGACTAAAAGTGAGATGTTACTAACAAGGTTCAGCATCTATCTGATGTCTGTGAAGGAAAACAGAAGGAGTGGTGAAAAGTATATTTTTAGAAATTTCACAGAATTTTCTTCTCTCATAGAATAAGATGGGATAACAGGCCAAATTCTGGTCTTGGTGATAGTGTAATAACTCTGCTATTTGCAGCAGGTTACTCAGAGGTAAGGTGTGCACTTTTAACAGATCAGGAGTAACCTCTTTGATTTTATTCTGCATAGGAACAGATTTTAGCTCTGTATCTTCTCTGTAAACATCTCCCCAAACACCCTTATCATTTGGGCACCCCATTAAAGAAGACACAGACCTATAATCAGCTAAATCCATGCAAAGGCTAAAAGAGTGAGGTGAAAGGGGCCTTTGGGATCAACACAGCTGTTTACTGATGGTGGATTTCATACATACAAGTTAAACTTGGAGACAGAATAGAGTCCACTACCACATCTCCTCAGAGGCTTTGAACTTTGGATTTTATACATGATGTTGTCTGTACAGATTGCTCCACTGTTCATTTCTGTGCCCTTTGGGGGTTTTATTCTCAATCCTGTCTTTGTCCATGGACAATAGCCCATGAGTTTTATCTGAAACCTCTCTAAAACAACAAGGATCTGCTATGGCAGACTTGATGCCCTGGGGGCAGGCTATAGCTGCCTTCATGTTTTCTTTGAGTAATTTTTTAGGAAGTGTCAGTGCAAGGAACAATTTATGAGTTTGCTGACAATACAGAAGTAATAAGCATTTCTATTGACAGTTAGCCTTTTGCAGAACAGTGTTTGTCAGTCACTTGGGAACCAAAAAGAGCAGAGAATCCCTAGAGAATCATCAGGTGAGCATTTGGGATAAGGGGTAAATATTAGGGTGCACAATATAGGATTGAACATGAAAAGATGGGGCTGTATGTTGGGACTGGCTGGTAGGATGCAGGCATATGGATTTGAATGGGGGCCTATAAATTAGTAGGTGTATGAGCAGATGGACTGGGAATCGAAGGGGGGCCCGTATAGAGGGGCTGTAGTGATTAGGAAGTTAGGTGTTGGGCACAGATAATGAGGCTGTTGTCACCGGCAGCAGAGAACGGGTATTGGGCATATATCTAAAATTGCAAAAGTTGGGATGTGGGTGAACTGAAGTTGTCATGGGTAGAGGTTAAGGTTAAAGGACTGAAGGCTAAGGGCTAGGGAACCAAGCAATAATCCCAGCCAATCCTGAATTTGTCCATCTCAGTCTCAGCTGTCCAGAGGGCAATCAGATGGGCCCACATGAAGCCCCACACTTTCCACCACATAGCGCAGTTAGAGCGCAGCTGGGCTTGTTTTCTTTGTTTGCCAACCAGTGACATGGAAAACGTTTGTTGACTCAGAGTGCTTTTTTTGTCAACTGATGTGTTTGGTAACTTTGTCAGATGTGACTTGTCCACACTGCTCCCCAGAGACAGGATTTGGGAAAGGGGGAGGAGGAGGAGGCGACCGGGTGGAGCTGGCATCCAATCCTCTCCAATACCACCATCCCATTGTAGTGCAAAACAGAAAGGAAACAAAACCCTGGAGTGAAAGAGGAGCATCAGACGTCAGAGGAACTTGTCTACCATTCAGGTGGTGGGGAGGGATGGGACTTGGAGTTTTATTTTTGTAGGGTTTTTTAATTATTATTTTGGTTTTTTTGTTGGTTTTGTTCACTTGTGTTTTTTAGAAAATTGGGGATTTTTTTTTTTTTGTTCTTTTTTACAGACCTTCATGACAAAGCATAAAAACACAGTTATATTTATATATCTATTTATATATTTCTTCACTTCGTCGGTTTGTTTGTAAATGTTGCTCCATCCTCCTGTCTGAGCTGATTGTGTGTCACAGAAATTGTGGGTGTATGTGTGAGGTTCCTCCCAATTCTGGCCTGCAAAGTCACCACCTGTGAGGTGCAGCCAACTCTGGGGGAATCCATGCTGGAGAGTGGGGATGAGGTGCACAGAGAACCCCTCATGGGGTGCAGATCATTACTTGGTCCTTTCTTCATTGCCAGATGGGCCAGGGCTCTGTACTGCCATCTCTGCTCTAGCCAGACTGTTCCCTCTGTCCTGGGAACAGGGTGACCATCACAGGTTACACACATCAAGAGTCCACCACAGAAGAGTATATCTTTGGGGAACAGTGTTTCATGAGCGGCATTCTCCCCCGTTTCCCTGGCCCTTACCGCTCCCAGAAAGGGGTCCTGTAAGGCAATGGTTGCCAGCTGCATTGCTTCCCAGTCCCCCTGGAGTTCTGGAAGCCAAGTGGACTTCGTGTGGCTGAGCTTTACCCAGGGGCATTGGAGGGCTCCTGCAGGAGAAGCCACTTGGCCGTAGGCTGTTCCCGGCGTGGGGGGAGCGGTCGGGGCGGAGGGCAGGGGGAGGGAGGGGGTCTCAGTCTCATGTGGTGAGCGCTTGGTCCGGCGCCTTCGCGGCGAAGAGGAAGGAACTGGACTGTGGGGAGGAACGGAGAAGGTCTCTTCACCCTTCCCAGGATGAGGGAGGTGATCAGACAGGTACAATGTGGAGGCCTAAGCTGTCGCCCTGCAGTTTCATGTGGTTTCCATGGTAACTAGTGGCGGTCATAGGCAGCGGCAGCAGTGGGAGGTGCGGAGCCCCGGGATGTGGCACTATAATAATAAGGGGAACCTGAAAGTTAACACAGGAGAAGAATGGACTGGTTGAAAGGACAAACAGTAAACAAAAAAAACCAAACCAAAACAAAAAACACAAACAGTCAAACTAAGAAAAGAAATACAGGAGAACAGAAAAGAAAAGGAAAGGTAGGAAGAAAGAAAAGCAAAAGAAACCAAAAGAACAAATTTAGGGACTGAGCTTCTAAAGGGATTAGGGAAAGGCAATCAGTTGAAGCCAGGTGAGGGCTGCATTTCAGTGCATTTCCCTCTACGGGAAGGAGATCCTTTTGCTTCTTCTGACCATCAGTGACTAAGCCTATGAACTTTTGTGCTAGTTTGGGATGAGGTAGGGTTAGTTTTATTCACAGTGGCTGGTATGGGGCTGTGTTTTGGATTTGTGCTGAACGCAGGGTTGATAACAGAGATGTTTTTGATATTGCTGAGCAGGGCTTACACAGAGCCATGGCCTTTTTTTCTTCTTGTCCTGCCAAGGTGGCAAGTAACCTAGGGGCGTGTGGGAGGCCGAGAGGAGCTGGAACAGATGACCCGAACTGGCCAAAGGAATATTCCCCATATGGCATCATGCTTGGTATTTAAAGGGGGGGATAAGAAGGAAGAACTGGGGACATTTGGAGTGATGGCGTTTGTCTTCCCAACCATTACAGGCCCTGCGCTCCTGGAGATGGGTGAACACCTGCCTGCCCATGGGAAGTAGTGAATTAATTCCTTGTTTTGCTTTGCTTGCATGTGTGGCTTTTGCTTTTCCTATTAAACTGTCTTTATCTCAACCCACAGGTTTTCTAGCTTTTATCTTTCTGACTCTCTCTGTGATCCTGTTGGTGTGGGAATGAACAAGCGGCTGCGTGGGGCTTGGCTAATGCCTGGGGTTAAACCACAACAACATTGCAGCACAAATATGTCACACCTGATCTGTAGCCACAAGGAAAGTGTCAGGGCCAGATGTTCTGAGCATACGTGACAGAGTCTAATGGGTCACTCTTATAACCAGGGGCGGAGAAATGAAACAAAATGACAGTGGTTTACTGCTTGGGATTTGGGTCACATTTGGCATGAAGTTTCTCTAGGTGGTTATCGAATGTGTGTTAAATAGTGATTGATTATTAAGATCACATTTACTGAGGTTTAACAGCACTGGAATAAAATGTGCATCTATTATCCAGTTGTTAAATCTCAGTAAATATATAGGTAATAATCACAACTGATTTATTTTACATATAATAAATCTCATCCTATTCCCTTGCAAAGAGGTGTTGTGTTAGAAGATAAAGTCTCATAGGAGTTTTTTTCCCCTCTGAAAAAAAAATTATTATTTCTGGGCATATTAGTCACTGGAGATGGATATATATCCCTGCAAGACAACTCTGCTGGCTGTTGTAAACCTAATGATGCAGCCTATCTCCCACTCTGGACACTGTTCTAACTGGTCCAATAGGAAGAACTTCTATGGAATTTATAGATCCCTATGAATTGACTCTGGAATTAGCTTGGGAGAGGAGTGAAATGTCATCTGGATTTTTAATAAGGCCTTGAAAGGATGCTGATTACAGCCTGAGAAAGTAAGAGAACTGAATTTAATTTCTGATACAATCTGTAATAAAATGTGGATGCAGCTCACAGAAAAACCAGAGCTGAACTTGAGTTCTGAACTGTCTCATGAAAGAGGAATCGGCTTCAGAACTGATACAAAACATTCTTGAAGTATATACCCATTTCAATACTGGACTGAGAGTGAGGGAAAAAGCCTCTCACCCGCCCAAATACTTGAAAACCCTCTTCAGAAACAAACAAACAAACAAAAACGCAAAAACAAAGAAAACGAATAGACAAACAGAAGGAGCGCGAGGCTGGGGGTGTGCTGTGGGAAAGAGGTACTCACTTAGTAACGCAGGGTTGCTGAACCGCCAGGCCTCGTTGTAGGTCGTGTACTGAGGGTGGCTGTAGGGGTTCCCTGAGAACTCGCTCCCTGGAAGAAACCAAGGAAGGTGTGAAATATAGTTAGGAATGAAGATTTATGTCTGCTATTCCAGCAAGCCACTGTTGATGCTGAATCCGTACGGCAGCAGGAAAACTAGTCTATGCAGTTTCCTTGCCCAGCTGGGACTCTGCCCTTCAGGACCCTGCAGCGCTTGTTAAGTGCAAAGTTCCATGTTAAGTGCAAATGTTCCATGACATTAAAAATCATAGAGTTGACCTCTTCACAATCAAGAAATTAGTTTAAAATAATGGAATTCAGTAATAAAATAAATAAAGTGGTTTATTTTTTGTTTCCTTATTTTTCATTGTCTTCTGACTTCCAAATCTCAAGTTGCAGTAGGATTACATATGCGAGATTTTTCTGCACTTAACTATTAGCTTTCTTATAAATAAAATCCAAGGTTCTCCAGTAGTGTCAAGACCCCAGGTATGGGAGCTTGATGGGACAAGCTCACAATAAACTCATTGGAACTAGCATTGCTGTTGATGGCAATATGTATTGCTAAGTTTTGTTTGTAGGGTACTAAGGGTGATGGCATATTTGCAGAGAAGAGTATCATTCCTTTTTGGAAATGTTCTGAGTAGGTTGGACTTTAATATAAAATAAAATGGAAAAACAATGAATCACTTTCTTACTCTGCATGATGGTATTAGTCAGAAAAGTGATTCATACATGATTAACCCCACTTTTATTCTTAGTGAGTTACAGAAAAAACTTGCTGCATTCTGGCTCCAGAAAATAGTTTTCTAATGATTAGTGCTTTAGGTACAGTCTTGAATCTGAAAGACAAGCTGTGCTGTGGCTCCACTTTTCACATTTAATAAAATGGGCTCAAACCAAAATACTTGCAAGCTTTGTGATCTAGTAAGACTCTGACCCAAGATTTGAATGTCTTTAATATTCTTTAATTTGAAGTCTTTAATATTCAGTTTTACTGTGCAGAAGGGACTGAGTCTCCCTGTTAAATAGAAGGCCAAGAAGGTATGGCGCTGCATTCAAAATAAATAAATCTCCCCAAACTTAAACCTGTATCATTCTGTTAAGGAAAAACATTACATTATCTGATCATAACCTCAATTTAATGCAGTACCAATAGACTGGGGACAATTAATGCCATCCAAAAAGGCATTATGCATTTAAAGGACAGTGGAAGAACAGTGTGGCTATTAGCTTCTGGTGTGCCCCAAGGCAGGGGTGGAATTGCTACAGCAGAAGTGTTTGAAAAACACTTGTCAGTCCCTGCTAGATACCATGAAACAGAAAAAGAAGGCAGTGCAAGATGCGATGGATGCCTGTGATACAATTACCAAAGAATGTCAATTAATTATACTGTAATCTCTGCAAATCTCCCCTCACTGGAGTGTTAAAGCCAAACTCACAGATTCTCAGATGGTGGTAATGAAGTCTGTTGAAATCAGGGGATTTACACTGCTTTAAACTTGAGGAGAATCTTTCCAGCCAGGTTTAAAAGTAACTCAGGGTGATAACCAAAGTAATCAGTGCAAAAATGAGTATGCATCAAACCCCATCAACTTGCTAAGGTATTTTAGTCACAGTAATTTTTAATTTACACATAAAACCTCATTTTATGTGACAGATCTTGCTAACTACTGTTTTAATGATAATAACTCAGTATAATTCCATAGCTAGAAACATCCTGCACTGAAAATCCTGACAACTAGTTGTGAAGGAATAGAAACCTGCTAAGATGACCAAGATGCAATGCACAGTCCAGATTCATCTCTGCTGAATTATCTGTGGAATATACTAGAATGTGTTTGCCTCCCAGAGAAGAAGAATAACTATCCACATGAGAATTTCTGCTTTCGAAGTGCCTCATATAACATCACTTCACTGCATGGAGGGACGTTGTTCTGATATTTCAAGACTTCTCTCTCACCATCTTCTGAGTTGACACCCTAAATTGTTTGTAGTGTTCCTAAACACGGGTTAAGTACAGGAGAAAGAGTCACAGCTATGGAGCGCTGGGGAGGAGGGAGGGCAGCCACTGGAAACAGTGTTTATTGACGAGGAGTGAAAGCATGCATGCAGCAGGATAATGAGCTTTTGAGCTCAACTGTGACCAAGAGGAACTGAGCTATTGCCTTCCCCGATCACTAATGAAACAAGTGTAATTTCCTCATCAACATTGGATTCTGTTTAAAGACTCCCTGCCGCTGCCATCCCCGGCCCTCTGCAGGCTCCACACTGCTCCGTGTAAACGGCAGTTCCTTCAGCCGATGCTCTCTTCACTAAAACAGTTTGCTGAAACTTGATGACCTTTTTGGGTAGAAGGAAGAATTGAGGCAGAGATCAAAGGTATTCTGTTACCTGTACAGGAGACTACTCTCAGACGCGTAGGTTAAGTGTAGCACAATACCCGAATCATCCTTCCTTGAGTGACTAACCCCTGCTTTTTCAAGTGTTTGCTCAGGACTACTGGCTTTCTTCCATGTCTACAGCCAGGGACCTGAAGTCATGGGCAGGGGCAAATGCAGGATATGTATGTTATCACATCATCCGCATAAACCTCAGAGGTATTTGCATGCACTGACCATGTTGCATGGATGTACTGCTACGGGAGACAAGCCCTTCTGTAGACTATGCAAGTAGAAGTCTAGTGAAAGGTTGTCATGGGCAGAACATAGCAGCTTTAATTAGCACTGGTCAAACAATCTTCTCAGAAACAGTTTTCCATTGGAAAATGCTGTCTCATCGAAATGGAAATGTCTTGCATGAGCTTGTTGGCTTCAGTGGAGTTTTGGAAAGAAAAGTTCTGAAATTATTGCAAATTGAAACAAAGTATTATGTTTCAACTTTCTTATTCTATTTCATTTTGCCATTCTTATCTCATTTAATTTCCTTTCAATTCTTTTATTATTTTAATATGTCCTGACATCTAGAACATGTTGACATTACCGAAATGTTTTATCCTGATGTTTGCAAATTGAACTGTTTCAAGATTCTGTCTCCTCATACCAATGCAGGATGAAAACAAATATCAAAAAATCAGAATTTTGCATGGATTAGAAATCTGGTTTCTGAACAGTTGTGTGTTTAGATCTGCACCTTTGTTTAGAGAGGACAGAGCCTCTTTCTCTTTTTCACTCATATCTGAATAATAGGTTTGTTTGCATGTCAATAAGTTTCTTAAAGATACTTCCTGAGTGGTCCTCTTGCTGGCTTCTTGTTTCCAGTGTACTTAGAGCACTGGCCCCTGATCCTTTACGGCCCGAGGGCCTGTAACAAACCACTGGCACTATTTTGTTTTCTCTATTCAAACCGGACTCTTAACAAAGGTTGCAAGCAAGCACAGAGGATCGATCTCATGAGGCCTATATTCTATGCAGTCTGTGCTCTGGGAATCTTTACTAACAGTATTTCTTGGCATCTGTATTTGAATCTTGTTGGTTTAGTCTTCCAATACAGAAACGATGAGGCATGATGTGAGCCTAGCAGGTGGCAGGTTCAGAACAAATATGGGAAATAGTTTTCACAAAATATGTAGTTAAGCTACACAACTTCTTACCATAGGTTGCAGTAGATTTAAAGGCTTATATGGGTTCAGGAGACATTGTTTAAGTGTGTGGAGGGAAAACTGATGCAGGGTACTTACTTAATATGAAATAGAAATATACTAGGTCTGGCTTAGGAAGTATCTTAGCTGCAAGTTGGAGGCTGGGAGATCTTTTGAGAAAGTACCAATACATGCTTGCTCTATTTTCAACGCTTCCTCAGACTTTCCCTGATGGCCCCTGACACAGAGTAGTGGCTGCAGAGATCTGCAGTGTGACCCATTAAAACCAAGTCTTCTGTGTCTTCCCAGGAAGCCTCTTTATCTTCATCTTGTTGGCTTTGGTCACATTAGAAGACAGGAATAGAAGGGCTTCCTGACTGGGTCTGACCAGTGGGGTATGACTGAAACAGCCAGAACTTGATGCTCTGTTGAAAGATGCAGTAACTACTGCAGGGTGCCCAGGCAGGCCACTGGAAAAACTTCCTCTGATTGAATGTTGACATCAGATTTAATGTAAATATATCCATTTGACTGGATTTTGGGTTTGTTTGTTTGTTTGTTTGTTTGTTTTTTGTTTTTTTTTCCCCCTGAATAATTCTGTTCCTTTTCTTTTTGGGAGTATTTCTGTGGTTTTTTGGGACACTGCTGTCTTATAGATAAGCAACCTCCACATCAAAGAGCTAAAATACCCTATTTTTTGATAAGTGACCCCTGTGATTAGTGGTCTTAAAATCTTTGTCCCAGTTTAGAAGTCATTGTCATCCTTGTGATGAGGACACTAAACTTACCTAGCAACCACTGAACAGTTGAGAACAGTTAGAAGTTGGGAAGAACCTGGTTTTTTAGAAGTCTCTACTCAAAGAGCCAGTTAGTTTGGTATTATTAATAATTTCTATACACCATGACCTCCTGTAAATTTTGACCTTTAACTGATTTAAAACTGAATCTACCTACTGTTACTGGTGTGTGTTTGTGGGAGTGTGGTGTGTTAATTGATATATATTGTCTTACTGCTTCTCTGATTCCGGAGCCAAACCCTCTAGAAGGATGTAGAAGGGAATGTCCTAAAATTCGCCACTGGAACAGGTTGCCCAGAATACTTGTGGATGCCCCATTCCTGGAAGTGTTCGAGGCCTGGCTGGATGGGACTCTGTAGAACCTGATCTAGTGAAAGGTGTCCCTGCTTATGACAAGGGTTTGGAACTAGATGATCTTAAAGGTGCCTTCCAACTCAAGCCACTCTGTGATTCTATGATTTGTCATTTAAAGACGTTGACCTGAAAACATTTCCTATTAGTGACATTTTCACTACCCCCCCTGCAGTTTGTGTTCATTCAGCTAGCTGTTGCAAGATCTGAATGAGGGTTAAGTTTCCACTCATAAGCCCTGGCAAATCATATGATAGTAATATAAGAGCTTTCTGTCCCCAACTTTTGCTGCTTCGGTTCTGGACTCATCCGTTCAGAAGCAGAGGTTGCAGAATGGACTGTGTACCTGCTCCCTAATCACCACAACTCACAACCCCAGGCCATAGCAAAAGCAGAAATCAGTGGCAGATAAGTTCTGTATTCTGAGCTGCCATGTCTGAGAAATGAAAATCCTGTCTCTTTGTTCATCTCCTGGGCACAACTGTCATCAGAGGAGTGGGGAATAGAACCTGAGGTAAGAAACTCTTCAACCCTAAGAAACCCTAGAGTAAACGGTCCTCTCTTCTCCCTAAAGGGTGAGAGAATCCATATGCTGAGATAAGGTATGTCTCCAAAGGCACTGGGTAGCAAAGAAACAGTTTGCCTTTGGATGTAGGATTAGGTAGATAGTTTCTTGGACTGGAGGCACAATCTTACAAACAGAAGGTGGGTAAGTAGTTGGTTGTTAAAAGTGCACAACTGGCTTCTCCTGAAATGCTGTTAATCATTGCTGAGTTCTTAGCTAGTTTAGGCTATAGACAGTAGGTCTCCAAAAACTACAGGTATTAAATTACCATTGATAATTTTCAGTTTGATGCCATGGCTTTAGATAGAAGGTAAGTTGTTACGCTAAGTTAGTGGATAGGTGAATATCCTGAGCCATAAGCAGTGCATAATAACCTGCATAGGTCATTGGAAAATAATTACATTAGTTAATGAATACTAGGTTAATTAATTACCAATTAATTGCCACAGGTTATAGCTCGCTAGTTGCCCTTAGCAGCAGTGAATCAGTTACTAGGGGGAAAGAGATACATTACAAAAAGGGTTGTTAGCGACATTGGTTATAGGCACCTGATGATTTCCTTATGAAAAGAATAGCTCTTCATGTCAGCAAAGCAATAGCCAAGCCAGCTGTGAAAGCTCTTGCAGTGCTGGTATACTGTTCGAACATGTGTGCACCATTAGTGAGGTCTGGCAGCTGACTTACCAGGAACCATTCCTGCAAGAGTTGAGGTTGGGTAGCTGCCTTGTCCAGTTGGGGGAACGTGGGGTGGGTAGCCAGGCAAGGTGGTGCTTGCCATATCACGACCTGGAAGGGGAAAGAATCAGGAGAGGTGATCAGTAAAGATAAGATCTTTCAATATTGATTTGATATCAGCTTCTGTCCCACTGTCACATGACTAGCAGCTCGATAGGCAACTACTGTGCAGCCTCTCTTATATAAGTGCTGTCCATCCACTGAAAATTCTGGGTGAGGATTGTGGCACTTTTGGTCTCACACTGTAAGGATGGATGTTAAAACTTAGCTTTTTGAGGTTCAAAAAAATTTGTTTTGTTTCATTGTACACTTTGGATCTGTTTTAACTAAATCAAAATGGCCCTGATCTGCAGAGAGAATGGCAGCATATTCATTGCCAAAGTAGCTGAGGTCCTGTCTATATGCAATGGATGCAGTTCCAGAACCGTGGTGATGTTGCTTTAGGGCATGATCAATGTGCAAGGCACTGGAAAGTGATCCAGGAGTTTTCTGTGCCCGTCTCTCTTCTCACCTTTGTCATTAACCTGCTGATGGTTTCAGGCAAGTCACTTCACCTCTCTATGCTTCTTTTTATGCTGCAAACTCTTTGGTGCAAGGCCACACTTTTAGTACATTTGCACAGTGCTTAGCGTGAGACCAGTACTGGTTGGACTCCTTCCAAGTGCTGGTGTACTGTATATAGTAATAGGATCATGCAAATTAGTTTGAATCTCACTTCATTTTATCACAGGTATGAGTTTTTGTTTGTAATACTTAAAGTTGTAATATCTTTTCACCATCAAAGAAGTAGAGAGGGGTGTGGACTGGGTGTTTGATTTAGTTTATTTTTCATCTCTTAGGAAGTGCAGCTGGGGGCTTCTTGGTTGATGCCAGAGGCATTTCCTCATTTGGACTGGTTAGCCTGAAAATGGGCCAGCCAGAAGGGCATTTGCTGTTAGTGCTTATTGCATTTAAATGAACTAAAATAATCTCAGAAGCTGCTGGGAGTTTCAAGCCAAAACAAAACAAAACAAAAAACCCCAAACCAAAATAAAAAAAAGAGCACTAAATAAATTAAGATAATCTTTCCCCCACAGCTGCTGAGAGATTTACAGCTCAACCTCCAACAGTGCCTACTGAGACGTCAGCCTGTTCCAGGCATCCAGAGCCTTTCACATTTCCTGGGTGAACTGTAGCTCACTAGGAATTTTGTGCCATTTGTTGTTCCTTTGTTAAATTTTATCTCTCCTGTCTGTTCTTACTGGAGGGCAGGAGTCTGATTTGCCTTGGAAGTGACAGGTTAAATGTAGCCCATTAACAATACTGGAGTCACTGGAACTGTGCTGGGATACACCAAGGAAAGAAGAAGAGTTGGTTTAGCTCTACTAGCAGCAGACTGGTAACTGATAAAGCAGGCCCTGGAACAATCATGAACCTTGGCTGGGGAATCAGAGATAAATAACAGTTACAAGGCAAAGCAAGAACTGAGAAGCACGGAGCTTAACCTGAAGGGAGGAAGTTTCTCTGGCATGAGGTAGGTTAAATCAGTGTCATTGCTTCCATAGGTCTTGACTAAAGATTTCTGAGGTGATTTACTCAAGAAGATAGAAATGCAAGTTCATTCTTTCTCCCTGAAGAGGTTCCTGATCAGTGGCTGATGTTCCTAGCTCACCTCCTCTTAGACAGTGGCATAGAACTCCCAGGGAATGGCTGAGCCATTTTCCAGCCACTCCCCGATATCGATAAAAATAAATATGTAATGTCTCAGGGATTTATATTCTACACTCTTTTACTCATTTATCACCATCATTCCTTTAGTGATTTGTAGCTGTGTGTTAAGCTGCATGAATAAAGCCTACTAGATGTAGTTATTTTTTTCTTCCGTTCTTTTAAGGCAAGAAATTTTTATGCTTAAAATTCTTGTTCTTTTAATTTCATTTACTGACTAGCCTGAGATACAACAACAGGTGATGAGTGAGAAAGCAGTGTCACTGAAAAGTTAAAGATAACATTATGTAGCAGCAGGCAAAATTAATTCATTTTGACACTTCCATTCAGCTGGGAACACATATACACTCACTCGGCTACTTGATGTATGCACATATGCCCCTGTGTTTTTATTCAGACATGAGTGCAAGAGGTTGATGTTCAAAACTGAGCATGGAAAATTTGCTGGGAAGTGATCGTCTGTCAAAATCCCAGTCTTGAAAAAGACGATAACAAACAAGTACTGTATCAGCAACATCACTAGGAGTCCCACACAGAGGCTCTTAAAATGCTGTTATATATAAGCAGGTCCCTTCCATTACCTCCTCTCATTACAAACAGGTAGACAGGATTATTAAATGCTTGTACTCCAAGGCTATGTCAAAGCTAGCTCATAACATGCTTCCAACTCCAATCACTATCCCTCCTTCAAGAGCCTTCTGAGTGAGAAACAGCATCTGAATCATTGTGACATTGTTTGAGCTTTTTGAACACTTTGCCCCATGTCTAATTCCCTATAAAAGTCCTAAGGCAGGTCCCTCTCCTGAAACACAGGGCCTTCTATGCTAGAGAATGGTCATGACAGCATCCCCAAAGATCCATATTGTTGGAGAGAGTCTGTCAGGAGACTTCTTGGCTTCGGAAATGCCCAGAGCTCAGGGGCTTTTACTGGCTGCGGTAAGGTTGGACCAAGCCGATGTTATAAACACAAATCTTCTGTGATGTTACTTTCTGTATTCCTACATGGAGGTTTAGAAATGGAAATCTACTTGACAATAGAAAGGAAAGATGTTAGGTCAAAAGAGAAAAATAATAAAGGAACATGAAGGAGGCAGAGGTAAGATATGTTTCTTTACTATTTAGGAACTGTGGTCTGCACTAAGACTTGTCTGTACTGCAAAAGCCCAGATTACATCCTTTGAAAAGTGGTCAGTGGTCACCTAAGATAATACTACCTATTTCATCCAAGTCACCCTTGAACTTCTACAGCAATGTTGCTTCAGTCACCTTGGTCAGGAGTTTCCCTTAGTACCTACCTGAAACTTGTCCTTCCTGCCCATGGTCCCCTCCCGCCTGCTGCTCGTAAGTGTTGCCATCTTCTGCAACCTATTTCTTCACTTCTAGTCTTGCCTTAAAGGCCACCTACGTCAGGTCTGTATTTTTTGGCTGTAAAACATTACAGTCTCTCACACACCCTTCCTGCTCTTGGCATTCATACATGATGCTGGGTTTCTTAACTACTTGGTCTGCTGCGTGAAGGCACCAGCTCATACTGACACTCCCGAAGCAGATGACTCAAATACTGCCCACAGCATAGCTGTGGCAGTGCTCACCAACTACTGTATGTTTATCTGACTTAGTAGCTACAACCCATGCTGAATAACCCAGGCAGGTCTAGACCTGGCAAGGATCTTCAAGCTGCTATCATCCCTGTTAGGCTAGCACACATTACCTTTGCTGGGCCTACAGTACTCAAGGACATTATAGCTATTGAGGAAACACAGGATTATGCTGTACAAGTGCTTCTATACTAAGTCCCAGACCCATCCAGCTGGGACACCCAGTCACTTCTAGGTAGTTACAGCTTCTTTTCCCATTTCATTCTGAAAAAGGAAGAACAGGAATGAAATCTTACTGTGACTTCATGGAGCTAAGAACATAGGCTGCATAGGCAGACCTGGAACATGGTTGCTCTGGTTCCCACTTGCACTCAAAGAGCTTGCAGCATTTACTGGCCTCCCCGTCAGACGAAACTGAACCCCTTGCCTACAGCATCCCCACTCGGTTTGTGGCCAAGGCCAGTTACCTGCTATCAGAGGCTGGCTGCTGGACTGCCCAAAGTGGGCACCATGATGAAGGAAGGCACTGTAGCAGGGCGTGGACGCATCGTCTGAAAGGGCCATGTGGAAGGGCTGAAGATCAGCCTGCCCAGAGCCGACCGGCGTGGTGGGGGTGAAAGGGGTGAGAGAGGCTCCATGAGGCTCTTGCTTTATACTGAGGGGAGAGGAGAGGTTTTCTGTGGTAGGGTAAGGGATGGACACAGACAGACAAAGGGAACAGGGGAAGGAAGAGGAGGGTGGGGAAGGGAGGAGAGGAAGAACAAAATGGGTAAATGAAAATGGAGTGGTTAAAATCTACAGGGAAATTAATTTTAAAACAAAAACAAAAATAAAAAGGTTAGGAGTAGATCAGAGGAGCCAGTGCTGAGACAACAGTAGTAAATGCACCTGGGGGCTAGGCTTGGACTGCAGGGATGCCTCTGCAGGGGCAGCAGGAGATGAGGGGAATGGAGTGCCGTGGCAGATGGGAGGGATGGGATGCAGGAAAAGGAGAGGTGAGGGAGGGAACATGCAGGAGGACAGGAAGAAGCATAGGGTTGGGAAGAAGAATGCTCTGAAGCTTTTGTGCTCCCTTTCCTGTTGCTTTCTCTTGCTGGCTGAGGGCACATGAAGATGCTATACTTACACAGTTTGGCTCAAGGAATTATACCATTTTTCTCTTCAAACTCAAGGTAACCTTCCCTAGGAGAGCAGCACTGCTATGAGTACCTATTAAACAGGTTGCTGAGTGTAATTGTCAAAGCTTCTCAAGCCAAATTTTATGAAGGCTTTGACAAAACTGGTGTAGCTGGAGTTTGAGGTGGTTAAAATAAAAATGGGACTGTGCAATTAATAGGTGGATAGACAGATGGATCAAGCGATTGATCTTGGTCACAGTGGCACACTTTGGAGATTTAACCAATTGATTGTTCGCAGAGTATAATTTTGCCAGATAGATACCTTGACAGAGAGACATAATGGAGGAGAGAAAATGTAGGGGACTTATAAAAGGTCTAATTTTCATTGTTGTTTACATTGGACTTCCATTTCTGATGTGCAGATTTGCATAGGCACAATAGATACAGCTTTGCAACTGCTCCTAACTCAGCTGCTGAGTAGGAAGCTTTGGAATTGGAGAACTCTGTGACCTAAAGCATAAGTACTCTAGAACAACCACTGTTGTTGGGACAGCAGTAGTAGAATGCTGTATTTGAAAACCTAAAAGCATAGATACTGTGATCAGATTCTATCCAAATCATGTAGCAAACCATCCATCCTCAGGGAAGCAAATTAATGCCAATAAATGAAAGCCATCTCTTTACTGTGATAGCAAGTGTTGCCAATGGCCTATGAAATAAGTTAGTTCTTGGTGGTTTTGGTTTATACAGAGAAATACAAATGTGACCTATAATTAGGTCATAAATCTGACTTCATTAATGTAGAACTGGCTTAATTAAATCTAGGCATCTTATTGAGAGGCCATAGTGGTCACCTAGATAATAAAGGGCTGGGCAGTTTCTATCTGTGAATGCTGTTTATCCTGAGATATTTGTTTCCTAACGGTTTGCTACCTGGCAAAAATGATAGTTTGCCATCTGTGTTCTCCTCCAAGTACTTCTGACCTGGATGGCCAGTAAAGGTCTCTGATCACCAAGACTCCTTTGCAGTAAGGACATATGTTCATGTTTCAGTCTATTGGGAAGGATCGGTCCTGGCCAAAAGGTGTATGGTTCCTCTTTATTTAGTTTACTTATGTGAAGTCTCTGGTACGCTAAGTGAGGGTTTAATTTCTTTTCCTTTTTGCTAGGAAGCTCTGTTTGGCAGGGACATTTAGTGGAGGATATGCAGAACAGAAGTTGGAGTATCTGGATTTTATTGTATAGTTAATGAAAGTCACCAGAGTAGGCAGCACATCAGTGTGAAACTTCTGCTTTTTACAACTATACACTGTCCTACAATCACATTAGTGAACCTTCACATGCCAGTGCCAGTCTCTGTAGATGGAGAACCCCCAAAGCTATTTTTCTTCTGCATCTTCTGTCATCAGATGGCAAGGAGTTCACATATTTACCTTCAGACCAGACAGGCAGAGTCACCACCAGCATTCTGGGAGTGCTTGAAACCTTTATCCAAATAATGTTGATACAAGATAATTTGGATGAATAGATCTATCTGCAGGCAGAGGGCCAAAAGTTCCCCCGGCTTTCGCAGGCTGCAAGTGAAGTGATATTTTTCAAGGAAGCCATTTGACAGTGATACGTAAATAAACTAGAGACACTTTGGTCCTGGGCATTTTCCAGACTCCTTTTTCAGCTCTCTGTATTACACAAAAGACAGCAGGTGTGGGGAACTGCTAGGAAGGAAAGGACAGAGAAGAAGGTGGACACAGGAAGCGTGGGTGGGCAGAAGCAAGAGGTGCTATGAGCAGAGGTTAATCCTGTTTGCACAGCCCCCAGGCACATTGGGTTTCCTAGTCCCTCCCCTGCTTTATTTCTCTTTTAAAGCATGGAATTTTCAGCTATAATCCTTCCTAAACCGCAGCATTTTTCAGGCGCTCTGTGTAAGTGAAACCATAATCTCTGGTAAAACAGACCGCTTAAGCTGCTGTAGCATTAGGCCAATCTGATCCAGCCCCTGGATTTCCGCTCTGCCCAGCCACCACAGAGAGGATTTCAGCCTGAAAGACTGTATAAAGCCCTTGCAATGGGAACAACAGTGCTGGGCCTTGCCTTGCAAATCTGAGAAGAGTTAAGGGACCGGGAGCTATTTGTCCTGGTGTTGTGAGGCTGTTAAAACCCCTGTCAGACTCACAGTGGAGATGAGCCCAGCCCTCTCTTGAACACATCAAGGCTTATGAAGAAAAATTCCTCGCACCTTCCAGAGGCAGAAGCACTTACTCAGTGTGGCGGGATAAAGGAGTCAGCAGTAACATGGCAAAGAGACCTGGACGCAATAATGCTAAACACTTTTCTCTCTAAGAGTAGTGGAGAGGAGGAGAGTATAAGGTCAGACAGCAAATGATTGCACAACCAAAACTCAGACTTTTATGTGTCTATTTATCTATCTGTCTATCTGTCTCTCTACACTCTGTAAGTGCACAGACATAACTTATATCCCATGTATCTTTACTGATGGATGGTATTTACCATTTTTTACTCCTTTGTTGTCCAACTCTCCCCTGACTAAAATCACCTGAATTCTGTCTCTGATATAGCTCCTGCCACCGCTGTGCTGGAATAATTGCCCCAGCAGTGAATTATAGCTCCAAAGTGTGTCAGTGTAGACGAGATCAATTGATTGATCTATCTATCCACCTGTGAATGGCACAGTCCCATTTTTCATTTTAACCACCTCAAACTTCAGCTGCACCTCTTTTGTTTTCACTTTTGATTTTCTCCATTCTGTAATTTTTTTGTATTTATGATGGAGAACTTGCCGGTTCCTATCCCAAATCCTGCTACTGCCAGCGAGCTGTGGAGCAGTGCCATACTGGCTTGTCTATGTCTTGTTGGGAGCATTCCTCAGTAAGGTTGCATCAGCAAACTCCAACATATCTGTCTTTCTTCTTCTAAAAGACAAACAATATCCTTGTTTATAAGCTCCCCCCCCCCAAAAAAAAAAAAAAAAAAAAAAAATCTCCTACTGTCCTGGTGGGGGAAATTCGAAAGAGTCAGCAGGGTGGGGATATGGCTGAAAACATATTAGAGAACCATGTTTTGTGCATCTCTTACTCCTCTCTTTCTGACTGTACTTTCTGAGTTATGGCTGTTTTTCTTCCTTTCTAACCCTCTCCTCTGTTATTCTGGCGGAGAGTGAGAACTTGTGATCCCTGGCCTAAATTCCTCCTGTGAATGAAGGGATTTTGGCCAGACAGGGTGAGAGGAAGATTCACAGCTTTGAGTTCCTGCAGAGACTCATGCTCTCTCTCTTTTATCATGCTCTCTCCTGCTGAAGGGAAGGGAAGCAGGGAGGGTTGCAGGACTAGATAAGCTGCTTGTTTTTCATTGCTAACTTCCTGGAGGATAAGCTACCTGCATCCAATGCTCCTTTTCTTTACAGTAAACAGAGAATACCAAGATGGCACATCCATGCATAAGGGATGGCTTGTACACACCCACTCAACACTATTCACATCTGGACAATGTTTTCTGTTCTTCATCTTTTCCTGAGGTCTCTATCAAATATTTGTATGACCCCAGTGCCCCACCCTTTAGAACACGTATCCTTACAGCATCACTTAGGGATCACTTTATCTATGAGGAAATGAGCCCAGAAAAGACATACCCCAGTTCATATATGAACCCTGTGCCAAAACTGAATCTTATCTCAGGAGTTTTGAATCCTATGCTTGTACCCACCATTGAAACATCTTTTTATTCTCCATTCCTTCAAAAAGTTTTGTTGTGACAAACAGAATGGGACTGGGTCCTCAAAACTCATGGACTGGTGAATTTACACAATAGGCAGTGGAGTAACATCACTTTATCCCATGTGGGAATCTTGCCTCAAATTCCAGAAGCCATACAAAAGACCAAACTGGACTGATGTAACATATAGTTAGTTTTTTCCTTCTGTCAGGTCATGAGAACCACTTTTTCTATTCTTAGTTTTCTAGTTTTTCTGGGGAAAGGGCATTATGCAAATTGCACTGAAGGTAAAGACTGTCCTATTTTTTTCCCTTCTCTGATCATAACAGACCTATGCTAGAAGAACTGAAAAGTGTGCAAAGACTAATCTGCTTCTCCTTATACCTTTTTTGTCTTCCTCTTGACTGGAGAATGAGCCTTGTGTGTTCAGGTTTATTTTCTGTTTCTGCACACATCCATCTGTGTTCTTAGCCCATTTCATTGTTGAAGTACGTGTTTAAAGAAACAACCTTGGATTGCTTTCCCCCAAGAGTCGACACTGTTGTGGCATCACATCACATGTCAAGTTTTGAATTCTATTTGCCCTATTTTTTTCACAAAACTGGATTTTATAAAACTGTGTCTGATCTAATTAACTGCTGCTCTCAGAGTAAACTGACCTGCTAACTCTGTATGTTCCTTTGAAGAAAAAATTCTTACAGTCTTCGTACAGGCTGAAACACGGAGCTTCCAGTAGACCTGTGATGTAGACTTACTCTTTGAAGTTACTTGAATACTGCTGAGTACTGGTTAACCACTTGAGAACTCCACTGAAGTCAATTGCATGTGGC